ATGGACACTAGGAGAAAATCGTTGTCGAAAGCTTCTTTGTTTTTCTACTTTTCTTTTCCTATATGAAGTTAGTTAAGGAAAATTATGAGGTTAATATCAACTTACTCAGTTGAACAAAGTTTCGAGTTATAAGCCTGCGCAAAAATTCCTGATGTATAATAGTTGCTTCATTAATATTATTGAGCTATGAAAGCATAACCTCTTTTTACCAATCAATCATTCCACCGACATCTCCCTCTCTTTTTCGTTGTTAAGGTCATATGAGTTAAAAATTGTTTCATCAATTAATTCAGTACGTTTATTGTGTGGTTCGATGAAAGCCCAGATATTTTAAAGGGAAGAATATATTAAGTACAATGTAAAAGACAGAAGTAACTCAGTAATAATGTAATGGTTTGAGGAATTGGAACAAATGCAATAAATGGGAATGATGAGGATAATGAGAGCAAAACATATTTATACATAAATATAAGTGGTGTAAAATATCCCCTCTTCTTAGTACAGAAGGCAGCAGACTTCTGTGGGAGAGGAAAAACCAGATTCCGAAATTAGGAAAAGACGACGTAAATGGATAGGACATACATTACAGAAATCACCAAACTGTATCACGAGGCAAGCCCTAACTTGGAATCCTGAAGGGGAAGCGAAAAAGTGGAAGGCCAAAGAACATATTAAGTCGGGAAATAGAAGCAGATATGAAAAGGATGAATAACAACTGGAAAGGATTGCTTAGGACAAGGTTGGATGGTGAGTGCTGGTGGGTGGCATATGCTACTCTACGAGGAATAACAGGTGTAATTAAGTATGTCAGTACTCATACATAAGAAAACATGAAGAATAGATTTTAAAATGACTCTCAAAAAATCTCACTGCCAACATCACTTCAGTAGATGATGGTGAATATATAACATGCATGTATTTGTACGTGCCTAAGTGTGGAGAAATTTCAAAGCGTGAACGAACCATTGAATGAGAACCAGGAGAGAAATGTTAATAAGAGATAGCGAGGAGAGGTCATCATCAGTAAAGTTCTTATTGATCAATTGTAATTGTTTTGATTTTTTTCAACAGAAAATTTTTTGTTCAATAGAACAAACAAGAACGATAACACACACTTTTCTTTCCTGTAATCACTTTTGTCATTATTATTATTGCTATTCATATCATTATTACTCCGATACCCATTGCCGGAAATAAAGAAAAAATTCTGAAGTATTCTTTTACTTGTTCTTGAGGCATGCCAACCAATCAACCAAGTAGCAAATCACCTGAACAATAATTTAGTTAGGTTGGTAGGCGAGTAGAAAGTTGGATAAATTTTTAAGTTTGAATGAAAATACAAACACACACATACACACACTAGAAAAACATATCTCAAGATGCTGGTACTTCATTTAGACATGCTCCCTATTTAATATTAGCCCTTATCCATCAAAATGATAATAATAATTTATTTTATTACATTTAATAACTTCCTCATTTTAGTCTGCATTCCGGAACCGTGATGGCTAATTTGTGTCTTAATGAGTAGGTCTGAAAATACTTCTATATTTATATATATATATCCCTCAGTCTTATCTCTAAGATAATTGTCTACAATGTACACAATAATGATCTTCAGTCATTTACGTAAATAATTAATATCTAATCACTTGTTGTTCAATGATCATTCTACTTGATAGGTCAGGCTACAACTTATAATATTTAGAAAAAAGAGGAAGTCGGTAAGTTTTCTTGTGTGTGTGTGGGGGGGGAGGCTGTATGTACTGGTGAATCAGATAAGCATTAAAATTCATTTTTTTTTAAAAAAAGAAGAAAGAATTTTGAATGAAATGAGTTTTACTGAGGAGAAAAAGAAACAAGACAAACAAAATAAAAATTGTCATTACAATATGGGATGACAGACATTTCAGGTCATGTATCCCATTGAAGTTGAAGTTGAAGTTTACTCTTTGACATTTTCAAGTAGAAGAATGAAGACAAATGAATAGATTGATCATATTGGTTTTTTTCTTTTTGAGTTGACTGTCATTATCCAGTAATGAATGTAACCTCATTGAGATATACACATATCTTTATGAAGCTATTCAATAATGAATAACATGTGAATAATTTACATAGTACATTGGAAGATATGAATCAGCGAAAAGAAAAGAAAAAAAAGGAAAACAATAACACCTGAGTATATTATTGACCTAACTCAGTTCTATCAACAATTTATTCATTGGGTGAATTCTAAACTCTACTTAACGTTGTACAAAACATCATAGGGTGTTCCATGGATAGTATTCCTTTTTCATCTTATTATCAAATTTAAATAGAAAATCAGTGTAATCTCATATTATCCTTTTATAAACCAGGAAGTAGATGATCATTTTTTATTTCTTTTCTTTTTCTTTTTTTCTGTTTTTGCAAAGAAACACGAGATTGTTTTTTTTTCTTTCTTCCCAAAATTGTTTAAAACTATATATATATATATATATATATATATATCATTGTTACTATTATTGACACGACCTAAAAAAGTAATATTTTCCTACATCTATCTCTATGTGAAAATAGTTAATCTTTTAACCTGAAAAAGAAAATCAGCAATCTTTTACCTTCCTACTATCATAGTGATTATGTTTTAGTTTTTTTAAAAGAAATAAATAAATAAATAGAAAAGTTTAAATTAGGTGTGAAGAGAATTGGGCGGTTAAAACAAAGTATAGTGTAATAATTATAGTCGGAATATTATATATGACCAGTGACCTATTTATAAAATTTATTCTTATTATTAATATAAACTTGATTAGTACACGTTTTGATAACAGTGTTTATACTTACCTATATGTCAATGACTCTCTTTTTTGTGGTGGTGGTGGTAGGGTAGAAATAAAAATAACATTTGGACATGAACTATTTCTGTAATGGTTTTTATCTTTTCGCTAATAATTGACTAGATCCAGTATGACAATACGGACAAAGATTGAAGTATGTGATGTTGGAAATAATTTGGCATACCTTAACAATATTAATAATCTATCACTGTTCAACTGCACATAGTAGGAATTCATCTAAAAGCAAACATATAATAAAAAGTATGTGCTTTTTTGTTCCCTGAAACACTACTTACTTACTGACGCCTGTTACTACCAGTGGAGCATAGGCTGTCGACCAGCATTCTCCAACCCACTCTGTCCTCAAACTTCCCTTCCAGTTCTGTCCAGTTTTTGTTCATTTTTCTCATGTCTGTCTCCATTTCTCGGCGTAATGTGTTCTTTGGTCTTCCGCTTCTTCTTTATTTGGCCTTGAGGATTCCATGTGAGGGCTTGCATTGTGACACACAGCTAGGTGCTTTCCTCAATGTGTGTCCTACCCACTTCTAACGCTTCTTCCTGATTTCTTCCTCCGTTGACATCTGGTTTGTTCTCTCTCACAATAGGTTGTTGCTGATAATGTCTGACCAACAGATCCGAAGTATTTTGTGTGGGCAACTGTTAGTAGATACTTGTATCTTCTGGATGATGGCTTTCGTAGTTCTCCAAGTTTCCACCCCATACGGTAGGACTGTTTTGACATTTGTATTGAAAATCCCGACTTCGGTGTTGGTTGACAGACAGTTGTTTTGAGTTCCATATATTCTTCAGCTGTAAATATGCTACTCTTGCTTTGCCGATCTGCACCTTCACATCTGCATCAGATCCATTGTGTTCATTCATGATGATGCCCAGATATGTAGAGGATCTTACATCTTCCAAATCTTCTTCATTAAGTGTGATTCGATTGGTGCATGCTGTGTTGTATCGGAGAATCTTGCTGTTTACTTTGTGTATGTTGAGACCTACTGCTGCTGAGGCTGCTGCCACACTGTTCGTCTTCTTCTGCATCTGTTGTTGCGTTTGGGATGGAAGGGCCAGATCATCTGCGAAGTTTAGATCGTCCAGCTTCATCCTAGATATCCACTGTATCCCATGCATCCTTTCAGATGTTCACGTCTTTATGATCCAGTCTATCACCAGGGAAAAGAGAAAAGTAATTCTCTGAAACATGATGAATACAAAATGAATGAAATACTATACACAATATGGTAAATATAACATTATGGTTACTTAATTAAGTCTTACAAGATAAAATAATACTGTCGAATATAGATGTTTTAGTTTTTTTTCTTCTTTTTAAAAAATGATACAATATTGTAAATCTTTCAACCAGAAAATATACTGTAGTAACTTGTGTACGCTTAATGATAACACGAAGGAAAAGTATACATATCGTTATGAGAGAGTGATCAACGTAGTTGTGAGAAAGATCACAGTGCTAGATACGTAAATCAATGTTACAATGTTTCATATTCATTGGTGAATAACTCTGAAAAGTAACATTAAACACGCTGTTGGGTTTTATACACTTGAATGTTGATAAAATCGGTTTCTATTTAACTATATTCTCATTGTTTTATTAGGATTTAAATAAGTATTGACATAACTAATTGAATAATGTTTTCCAGGTAATTTAAGTGTTTAAATTGGAAGTTTTCTTATGAAGGTGGTCGTTACATTTTAATCTTACTAATACATGTTTAATATCAAATATAATTTCAATGGTTGAGATTATGAGATGTAGTGACCAGTGGAGTTCTACCGAGTCTGTTGTGAGATCGTAAGTCACTGAAGATAATGATGAATGTGTCGCTGAATTTCGTGGATTGGTTGAAGTTAGACCTTAGTGGTCTAGAGATTAAGCGCTCGCGCGCGAGGCCAACAGGTCCTGGGTTCGAATCTCGTGAGGCGGGATTAAGAATGCACAGTACTGAAAAGTCCCACAATAGGACGAAACGGACGTCCAGTTCTTTCAGGTTTTCCATGCTGATCTAGATTCAATTGAGTCTTGGTCTCAACCATTGATAATACATGTTTAAATGAATATCGTATTTGAGCATTATGCACAAAATATTCAACCAGAATTTATTCAATTTTATTCACACACTTTTTGTTTCTTTTATATAACATTTGTAGAATAACAATTGGTGTTTTTTTTATTTAATTACGATTTGACTTACACAAACATTTCTCAAAGAAAAAAAATAAGAAATACTCATGGTTACAGAGGAAATTAATGAAAATTCAATTGCAGAACCTTTACATCAACCTGTACCTTTAGATTTATCTTATCATTCATCAATTTCAAATGAATCAAATATTTCTAATCAATTATCAATTTCAACAATAACAACACCATTTATTAATAAATATGATAAATCTACTAATATACAATTAAGTAGTTTACAACATACATGTATTAGTATACCAATTAAAACATCACAATTAAATGATAAATTCAATAATCAATTATATTTTCCACAATCATCTATTATAGAACAAGTGAATACATTATATAGATCTAATTTAGAAAAATTACAAATGTTTTATACATTGAAAAGAAGTCAATTAAAATCTATGAATGATTTATATCATTCACCATTAATAACTATACCACCACCTGAACAATTATTAGCATTAACAATGTTACATAATCATAGATCTATTAAATTCACTCCAATAATCAACACGAGTAGTAATAATAATAATATTTCATTATTACCAAGACAATTAAATCAAACTATTAAAAACGACTTAGTTACTAATTTATCTTCAACTATTCCATCATTATATGATAATCAATTCATCGACTTAAACAATAATAATAATAATAATAATAATCAATATTGTAATTCAATTCCATTTGAATTAATATCGATTTATTTAAAAATGTTAGAAAAATCAAAAAAATTTAATGAAATTTACAAAAATGATAGTAGTAACTATTCCTATGAAACTATTTATAAATGGTTATTATCATTACGTAAGAATATTTATACAACAATCGATAAAGATTTAAATAATCCACCTTTGAATTATCCAATTAAAACAAAACTTTCACAAACAGTAGTTCATGTTGACAGTGATAATAATAATAATAATAATAATAATAATAATAATAATACTAATAATAATAACGGTATTAAGAATATACCTAAGAAACATAAAACAATAACAAGTGTTTTAGATGTATTACCATCAGATAGTATAGAAGTAGTACAAGGATTATTATCAACATGTGTAAATCATTTTACACCTAAACGTGAACGTTATACATGCCATTTTTGTGGTAAACTATTTCCTAGATCAGCTAATCTTACTAGACATATACGTACACATACTGGTGAACAACCATATAAATGTATACATTGTCCAAGATCATTTAGTATTAGTTCTAATTTACAACGTCATATACGTAATATACATCAAAAAGAAAGACCATTTCACTGTAATGTTTGTTTAAAACGTTTTGGACAACGTGCCAATTTGGAGAGGCATGTTCGAAATCATTTAATCAGTAAATATCATCATCAACAGCAGCATCAATACATGCCATTATTATCACCTACATGGTCATCATCATAATCATTCTTCATCTTTTCAACAGTGAACACAAATTTTTCCCTAGAATAACGTGATATTATATCAAGTAATTCAAATAGAGTTTATCCTATTGCTGTCCATCAATAAGACAGACATTTCTCTCTATGTATTCTTATTTAAAGCCTTTAACATTAGTGATTTTATAACTTTCTTCTCAAATCAACCCTGATAAAGAATTTTGTTGATCTTGTGTTCATATATACACATACATATATGATATAGTTACTTGATTTGATGTAATTTATGTTTGTTTGTTTGTTGTTCACATTGATGACCATGATCTTATGATTGGTTTGATCAATCAATTATGTATATCTTGTCTTCTCTTCTTTTTCCGTTGTTGTTGTTGAAAAGTAGTAATAATTGGATGATGTACTCGCTTCCTTTAGTTATCTTACATATAATACACCCTGTGTAGTGTATATCGTCTGTTATCTGTCATATTCATGAATCTATACATGCAAATATATACACATTTATATACAGTTTAATACATATACATAACAATAACAAGATAAGGAAAAGACTTCACATTGTTGATGATAAGTTGTTTTTCTCTTTTTAGATAATCCTGTAGTTATTAACAACTAACCAACCAATCAAATCAACAACAGCAAAGCAACGAACAATCAAACAAAAGTATCTCATATTTATCACATCCTTAAATAATATGGATACATAAATGACTACCGGAAAACAAAATTTCTTCTTTCTTTCTTTCGTTCGGCAACCATCATTTGCATAGCGTTCATTCTGTTGACATGATGATGATGATAATGATGGGGTAACTGTGTCTATGTGCGTATGTTTATATCCTCAGTAGGCGTTCATTAGTAATTGTGATTATCTGATTTCTCTTATATCCTTATGATTGTTGTTGTTAAGTCTTGTTAGGTCTTTTAAGTTGAAAAAAATTTGCAAAAATTTAATTAAATTTTCAGAGAGGTTATCAATTCACATGTCAGTTGAATGGGTTTCCTGTTAAAGAAAAAAAAAAGATTCTAGAAAAATATAAATTATTTCAATGAAGGATGAATCAATTGTTAGTGTATTGAATATATTAAAATATAGTTTCTTAGAAATAAGCGGCTTTAATGAAGTTACATAATTTGAACTGAATTGTTTAATTATGAAGATAATGGAAACTATTTGATGTAGTTTATAATGGAATATGCACGGTTTAGTTAAATCCCGAATTGATTGAATTCAGGAATGATCTTTGTTAAACCTGAAGTTTGACGATGAAATCCCGTGAAGTTTTACGAGTACCAATTCCATTGATTGACTTCATACTAAAACAAACAATAACTGTACAGTATTGTGTGGTTCTCATTCGTCAGTTGAATGACACAAGCTTATAGTGAAATCTCTCTTCACATTTTGAGAAAAGTTGACTATATTTCTAGGAGGAGTTTGTAACATTACGAGACTTCAGTTTTTCAAACTTATTCAGAAATACCCGGTTAGTGGAAAATACTAAAGTTACATTTAGAGTAGAACAGTGTTCTATTGACTGAAGAAACTGTAATACATTAATTAAATGAATAATATGATGAACAAAATATTTTTCATTTGAAAGGATGATTTATTCAATTTTAAAGATAATTCACATTACGAATTGACTCTAGCTATAGAATCATTGAAAACTAGAGAACTTTGTGCAACCTTTCCACCCTACTTTGTGGCTTCTCAGTATAGCAAACACAAAACCAGATCTCTTTCCAAATGCACAACTTTCAGATCAAAGAAATGATTCACATTTCTAACTATCGTAAATTAGGGGGACAGCACGACTCTTATCCGCTATCGTTTATATGATCTGGCTCGTAGTTGACAGGATTGAAATTCATCAGGACAATAAATATCTTTCATCTCCTTTAGTTGCTAACTAACAAAATTAAAGTACATGTTTATAAAATAGTTGACCTAGATTTCAATATTGATTTATGAACTTGTAGTGTTTATAGTATAAGATGTCTGGTACTATTGTAAAACTTCATTTGTTATGAGACCCAGGCAGATTCCCAATTAACATAAACATTGTCATAAAAATAGCCTCAATTACTACTACGTTTTCCAGAATAAGTAACTATCAGTCAAAGTTGTGAAATAACTACAACAAATTTCACTTTAAATCTGTGACTTGAATACTTTATAACATCTATAAGATCTAAAACCCCTTATTTCTATCTAATGTGCTAAATACAGGACTCATATACCTGATGAGCAGTACTATAATTAAACTTTACCGAAACTAAACAGTTTAAGTAGCCCTCGATTAAAGAAAGTTTCGAGTGTTTCGAGGAAACGTACAGTTATTGGGAAGTTCGGACGGAATCAGCATTCAATGCATTTTTAAGATTATTATTTTAGATTTTTTTTTTAACTGCGTGCGTGCACTGGAATTCAAAGCTATAAACTCTCTTCCTAAATGACTAATCCCCAAGAACACCTACGAACATCAAAGTGTTTTTTCTTCAGTTCCACTGTCAATTGGATAGGCGAAGGAAGTTCCTTGTTTTGCCCCTCCGATTGTTGTGATCTGGTTCAGAAGTCTTTGGGGATATAGTTAAAGTTCGACTGAAAACTATTTCCCGTTTGCTGTTACTGTTGTATTCAGTATTGAGGTGCCTCTGAAAAACATTTAACTTGATGCACATTATAAAATCAATATGATGGATTATATTCTCTTGATCTGACATTGAATTACGAACTGCAAAGTAATTAATTGAATGGAACAATTTATATCAGCCAACCTACGAGAAAACAGGTACCGTTTATAGTTTTCAAAGATTTTCGGAGTAACTTTAAGAGATAAATGGTTTAAATCTCATACCTTCGGACAGGTTTGATACTAAGAATACTAAGTAATGATGATTACTTCTTTAATAAATTTTGGATAAGATAATCGAATTGTTTGTATTCGGCTTCCTTATTCCTCAGCATGTTCAGTAGATGTTTTTATGCTAGGTAGTTTGAGACAATCGTCAGCAACCTATAAATCTCGGATACGTGATAGTCAGTACCCGTCAGTGAAGCGTATTTGTAGCTTCTAGTTAACTAGTGCCTCCACAACACAACTTTTCTGTTCAGTATAAACAATCCCCGATCTAGGCAGTTAGATAAATTTTTATCCGACTTATTTGTCTACTTGTGAGTAGCCTAATTGTTACCAAATAAGTTTAAATTATAAACAACTTTTATTATTTAGTGTAGAAGCGAACGTCTACATAGGAAAGAGTAGCCTTAATCTTATTCTATAGATGGATGAGATATTAGCTTAAATTAACAAGTCCAGAATTTTCTCATCTATATTGGCAAACAGTAAGTCACGTTTCGAAATGTCAAACTTAGAGGAAATCATAAAATCGAGTCCTATATGACACATGTCCTTCCATTTTCAACACTTTCCTTTATTTCCTAACTATACCCCACCATAGTTGGTTTACAGAGATTTTGCACGTAATTTTTCCTTTTAGTGGATGAGGTTTTGTCATATTAGACTTTCTTAATGAAAATGTTTCACATATTGTTATGAACAACTTGAATGTCATTGCAGTTGTAATCAGTGGCTATACAATATTATGACTACAAAAAACATCCTACTTTTGATCTCATCTAAGATAATGTATGAACATTGCCGAAGAGTCCTAGAGTGAAATTAAACAGAAACCTAGTTTTCTCTCGTTTCCACTGGCTTCACAGTTCTTATCAGTTATTGATGACTAACGTTTTTGTCTTTCCTGTGATGTTAGACTGGTGTCTTGACCATCCACAGCTGTCAAGAAAAAGTATACTTAGAATTCGGCCAGAGGTCGAACCCAGGATGCATTTTTCATCCTGCTTGGGAATTATCAGCCGTATGTAACTAGCGATGTTTAAACATAAGACAGTGAGTGATCCTATACTCAATTTTCCTGTATTGAAAGATGAGTCTTGGCACCATCGTCTTAGCTTCTGCTCCCATACAGGAGATAACACATTAAAACTGACCAAAGGCATGCGACCAAGCATTTAGTATAGCACAGAGCACTTAAGAATGCCTCTACACGTTTCTTAGAACTCCCACCTCCTTATATAAATCTGTTGCCGTCTTGTTATTTGTCAACTATAGATTAGAACAATGTATAAACGAGCAATATTGTTTTCAATCACTCGAATATACAGTACTATTTATATGCACATATGAAGTTATTAAACTGATTAAGGCAGTTTATAAGTTACTGATAACATTGGAATAGATTAGATAAATAAACAGTAAGTAGATACCTCAAATTGATAGTGTGATGGCATGTGTAGTAGTAATGATAACCATAATAAAAGCTTAAATCAATGTTTCATAATAAGAAAGTAGGCCAACAACTTTTAAAAAAATAGGTATTAAAGTAACATTCATTAAAAATTATGAAATTACACAATTAAAAGTCTTCAGATAATAGGACAATGAAGCGTAAACTTGATGAAAAGGGGTCCAAAAAAAATCAATGAATAAATAGTATGAAAAATAATAAATAAATCAGGACTCAGTAGCTAAGTGGATAGCGCGGTGTTTGAAACGAACGGTACTGAGTTTGAGCCCAACATTGAACATCAACTTCTGAGGTGCAGATACATTCAGCTGACGAGTTCCAAATAAGACGAAACGCGTCCTGGATTCCACTATCCAACTTTGCATAATAAATAAATCGTTTGTTAAGGCTAAATCAGCTGAGGAAGAAATGAATGAGTGAAGAATTTCTTATGAATACGCATTCAGTTTGTACCTTTTACTTACTGTTTATTAATGTAATTTATTCCACTGACATACAAACTGCCTTAATCGGCTTAATAATTTCATATCTACATCTAGATATTCATATATATTCGACTAAAGCCAGATAAGGATCTAATCGAAAACAATACTGTTGACATTTCGAAGTTGTTTTAATTAACAAAATGATCATAATATGAAATTATGGATACATTATACAGAAGATTTCGTATTGATGCAGTTAAACCCCAATATAATCGTCTTTTGAAATGGTTGATTTAACGGAAAATGTGAATAAATTTAATGTATAATATACAATATTGTACATTATTTGACAGTCACAGAATAACTGTCGTTTGCGACAACATGCTAATGAGCATCATAAACGCAGAGAATTAAGAAAAAATAAAACCAAGAATATACTATTCTCAGGAATTATGCAAACCTTAGATATTTTGCAAGAATCTCTCGTACAAATGATTTTCTAAACAGTAATGATCCGTGTTCAACCGAAATCTCAGTCAATACAATCTTTTAGAAGTGTTTTATGCAAATGAAAAACAAATCAAATTCAATGATTTGGTTAAAGTTGATCTTGATAAAATTTACGAAATAGTTGGTAAAGAAATGTTACTCGTAGGCTATAATTCAGTATAAGCATCTTATGGCATACTAATCAAGTACAGAAATCTGACTCATATTAGTGAGTAGGTAAATTCTGACAATAACAAGGGTTATTTGAATATATATGATCATAAAAGGCCTGGAGTGTCACAAAGTCTATTATAATATGAAACAGTGAACACCACGTATACTTCTGGTTTATTCAACTTCAACACGGTCTTCTATGTTTTACCGTTCAGCCACGGTGAATGTAATAGGGCTGTTAAGTTTGTCTTACATTGTTCTTACTCGCTGCTCTTACAGTCTTTTGCGAATTGTTCTATACTACTTATTTACATTC